AGTGGACCCAGCTAAGTCTTACTTATAATCTCACCTTCTTTATTTAAGAAGTCAAAAGAATTGAAAAATGTTTGTAAACTCCAAACTGAAATGGATGCAAATAGTCCGTCCTTCTTCATTTAGACTGTTTGGCGACCAATGTAGCTAGGTCTTTCTCCACCTGGTCTCGCCAACGGAGTGGAGGTCTTCCTCCTCCTTTGCTTCCCCCGGTGGCTACTGCGCCGAATACTTTCAAAGTTGGAGTGTTTCCATCCATTCAGATGATATCATTTAGCCAGCGTCCCTCAATTTCCTGAATTATGTCAATCTCGTTGTATATTTCATAAAGCTCATCGTTCCATCGAATACGATATTCGCAATGACCAATGCGCACAGTACCATAAATATTCCGTACATTCTTTCTCTCAAAAAATCGTAACGTCGACTCATCAGATGTTGTCGTAGTCCATGCCTCCGCACCATAAAGCAGGACGTGGATGAWGAGTCGTTTTTACAATTTGGTATTTGTTCGTCAAGAGAGGACTTAAYTTCTTAATTGCCTAATGATTCCGTCTGAAGTAGCACCGGTTAAGAAGAGTTATTTTGAGTTGGATATCGAGTCGGTCTACACAGCCGTATTAGTTTTGCTTTGATACCCGAGGATAGCAAAAGCAGCTTTAAAATCGACAAAGAGGTGGTATGTGACGATTCACTTTTCACACTCTCGCAAGACTTTGTGTATAGTGAATATAAGATCGGATTAGTTTGTTGACGGTGGACTRTAATTTTACACACAGTACAATCGATATGCGATATTGAGGATTTTTGTMTTTAGTTGGCACAGATTATGGGGTCTGGCTTTGTGTGGACTGGGTAGAGTACACTCGTCTTGTATGCTATCATCTGATGATACTCTACCAAGAAGCTGATCAAACCGTATTTCACTATAAAGGTAAACTGAACGCCATTGTTTCATACGCTGGTTGCCGAAGCCCAAGTGACTTTTGACGTGACTCGTAAATTCCAAACCACAATAATKCTTCCAGTGAAAAACGAAAAGTGTTTCAAGAAAGTATGTGATGATTTTGCCTAGAAAATTATGGCAAGACAGACAAGTTGACGGCAAGCATAACTAACGGAAAGTAGGATTCGCTAATATTCATGGTTTAGAAATGCTAAAAAAAAATAATTTTTACAAGTTCCCAGGCATTCGAATGCTTCTAGTCTATTCAGAAACCTCGTGGACTTAACTAAGGCGGATGACTCCTCGCGAATGAATAAAATGGCTTAAAGTGTACATTCTATAGAACTAAGTGCCACGTTATCGAAAGGTTTAAACTGTGCTAAGCTTATACTAAAGTGGAATGAAAA